GGAGCACGCGGGGGACGCGCGGGGAGCCCTGTTGTATCCATGGAGGAGGATGCTGGGCCCACGCCCTCACCCAGAGGCCTGAAAGACACCCCAACCCACCCGGCCCTGGCCAACTTTGGACCAACGGGTCAAGCCAGGAAACAAGAAAGGCCAAGGCACGTGCTTCAAACCAGGTCACTCGTGTTTAATCATCAAGGGTCCTCGACTGGACTACACTTGGAAATTATTTGGTTATTTTGGCACGTTTGAAAAATACTAATCTGCAAGCCGTGCCTCCTTCCCTAAAGGTGTTCAGTAACACTGGCCCCGATGGGGGTGGGGCATGGGGAGGGGAGTTGACCTGGAAAAAGCCACTCTCTGGATGAGACTGTGTTACAGTGAAAAGCTGAAAACACCCTGGCCTCGGGGTTTAGAATCCCACGGAGGGGGACTCTAGGTGAGGCCAGTGTGCAGCTTCAGGGGGCTGCTGCTGTCACTTGGTCCCCAGAGCTGTCCAGGCCAAGGCCTTTCTTGCCTTGCAGAGCCAAGTGTGTTTGGGACGCTGCTTTGTGATTGCTGCCTCAGTGGCTCACTGCTTTCTTGGGGAAAGAGGCTGTTGTATTCAGTGATGCTCCACAGGCATGCGGTGCCGCCCAGCAAGAGCCCAGCACTGGCTGCCCATTGCTGTCTCCTAAGGATGCCTCAATCTAGGTGAAAAAGGAGATTTGACAATCATCATAACACAATATCAAAGCTCTACTTAAAAACAAGTGGAGGACTTGGACAGGCCATTCTCCAGAGCAGACACACAAGTGTCCACTAAACACCCGAAGAGATGCTCGGCTAATGTTACACATTAAGGAGATGCAAGCCCAGGCCGTGCCCACTGGAATGACTCTTTAAAATAGCAAAAGATGATGAAGATGTAGAGAAATTGGGACCCTTGTTTCCTGCTGGTGGGGATGTAAAGTAGAGCAGTTGCTATGGGAAACCATACGGCCAGTCCTCTAACCATGGACTTACCAAATGAGCGAGTAGTGCCCAATTCTAGACGCACACCCAGAGAATTGGAAAGTGAGCACTGAAGGATGTGCTGCCGAATTCACAGCCTCCATGGAGATGCCATCTGAGTGTCCATGGATAGACAAATAGGTTAAGAACATGTGGTCTATCTAAACCATGGGCTAGTATTCATTCATTAGAAGTAATTATTCTGACCCATGCTACAGTGTGAAAGGGTTTTAAAATAGTTACACTCATTGAGGAAAACCCCAAAGGTTGATATTATTTATGTGAGGTTCACCTAGCAATAAAACTCATAGAGACAGAAAAATAGATGGTAGTTACCTAGGGGTAGTTGTAGAGGGTGTTACATAGGGAATTCATGTCTATCAGTGTAGAGTTTCAGTCTAGCATGATGAAACTCTAGAGATAGATGATCGTTACACAACAATGTCAATGGACTTAATGTTACTGAGTTGTGCAATTAAAAAGGGGTAAAATACGATATATACTGTATATACTTTGAAACAATCTACCCCCAAACACCTATTTGAAAGCCACTTCTGAAAGCAGGACAGAAATTCTTTAAGCACATGAAAGTGCCAACTGCCTCCTACATTTGGGCACAATTTTGGGCTGTGGCAGCCTCCCTTCCATGGGAACACCGTCATCACAGGTAATGTTCCAGTTCCAAAGCTGCAATTACAGGACACCCAAGGAGGACCCTTTACTGTGAGTTGTGACTAGCATTGGAGCTGATACAGGATGGCATCTGGGCCTTCTTGGGGATGCTGCACCACACTGGGGTGAATTCAGCCTTGTCTTGAAGCAGGGAGAATCTATAGGGCTGGATGGGGGGTTGGTTTGAAATAACCCAGTCAACAAGCAACATCACAAGTGATACCACTGCCAATTTATCTTCTTAGAGCTCCATTTTGTTGTTGTTGTTGTTGTTGTTTAGGAAAGGCTGATTTAAAAAGCCATCTGTAGGGACAAGTGGCCTTGCATCATGTTCTTGGAGTCAGGGGCTGAGAGGAACACTCTTCCTGCCTCTGGAAAGCATCCCTCACAGTAGGGAAGGCCAGGTGTATGTGTAGGTAAGAAGCAGGCTGGAATGCTGATCTCAAGCTCATCTAGGAGAAACAGCTGAATGGGGGAAGGGGAGTAAAATTCCAACTTCACTGAAAAATTAGCAACAGAAAAAACACATAGATGAAGTGCTGGGAAGGGCTCTGCAAGGAAGCTGTCTCAGAGTCAGCTGTCTTCCTCTAGTTGATTCTCCAAGTGCTGGTAGGTCATTTGTTGCCTCAACAGGAGCACCATGGTTCTCTGCTGTGCTTTGTCCAAGGCCTTAGATGCTGGGCTTTCTGCAGTGAGACAGGTGGCTCCTGCTCATGGGTTCAGGGAAGCAGGGCATGGCTTCCTTCCCATCTGTCTTAGAGTTTTATTGCTGTAAAGAGACACCATGACCACAGCAACACCTATAAAGGAAAACATTTAACTGGGGCTGGCTTACAGTTTTCAGAGGTTCAGTCCATTATCATCATGGTAGGAAGCATGGTGGCATGGAGGGGATCAGCAGGCAGCAGGAAGTGAACTGGTTTGAACTTCTGAGACCTCAAAACCCACCCGTTAGTGACACACTTCCTCCAAAAAGGCCACACCCACTCCAACAAGGACACACCTCCTAATGGTGCCACTCCCTTTGGACCAAGTATTCAAACACATGAGTCTATGGAGGCCATTTCTATTCAAACAACCACACCATCCTGCAGGCTGCTTTGTCAGCCAGCTCCTATCCACTCAGGCAATGTCTGTCCCCAGAGCCTAGATAGAACCAAGGCATGTGTCTGTTTGTCATTCCAGGTATTGTTACCCCACTTTGATTTTGTGATATTTGCATGTTCATCAAGCACCAGTAAGTTCCTGGCAAGAGGTTGGACTTTGGAAATACAAGTGACACCATGACCCTTGGGTTGACTACAGGCCTGCTAGTTGTTACTTCCTGTGATAGATGCTACTAAATGCGAACATTACCTCATTTTAGCCCAAAGCTATTGAGGCCTGTTGATTAGAGGACTCTAGAAATGAGGCCACAGGGTCAATTTCACACTGCTACACCCTAAGGGCCTATTAATTTCAGATGCCACCTGTGTTCTTATATGATCAAACATGTTACAGATTCAAACTTTGGTTACAGTGCTAGTACAGTGACATTCTTAGAAGATTTATCCTCAGCTCATGCCTTCTTAATGGACTAAATGTGCTAAAGGACACTTACCTTTGCACATGACTTTTTAGCAGAAGAATATTTATGGCTTTTATTAGAGTCAAATGTATACCTACCTAGGTGCTAAGTAAAAGTAGGTCTACAAGCCATTTTCATTTCAAAGGAAGATTCACAGCAACTGACATAAGGAAAACTTTGTCTTGCAGCCGAAGGGACAGCCTGACCCATGCCTATAACTCATACTAGAAAAGCCCCATCTCTGACTCCAGCCCAGCACCTTCACCCTAATGTTTTATACCACGGCAGTGAAAATAAATCTGTAATGTTTCTATCCCAGGGTATTTCAGTTCCATAAGCTGCATCTTAATGCACACAATGCCTTTCCTCTTCCCACTGAGAATGCCTCTCCTTACAGCTAAACCGACTTTTTTTTCCTCTTTCAGGCTAATTGGTTTCTAGATTATCCAATTAGTCTCAATTCACCTTCTAAGGGGGCACCAGCTGTGCTTTATCCTTGCACAAAGCCACCTCTGATGATCCTGGGTGCTTAATTTTGTTCGATTCTTGCAATTATTCACGTTCTGTGGACGGACCCAGGTGTCTCCAGGCAATGATAGGTTTTTAAATAAAGCTAATGAGTAGGTGGAATGCAGTGGGCCAGAAATTCACAAGGAAGCAGGCAACTAACTGCACAAAGGGGCCACTGCGGAGAATGGCCAACTTTCACTGTCCGTCTGGGCCTACAAGACACTAGTTAAGCCAGCAGGCTGCAGACTTTCAAATTAGATTGAAGTAAAACACTCCCCTTGGAAAGAGTCAAAATCACTCCTGCATGTTACAGTCTCATTGGTCTGCATTTACCTGTTGAGTAGCTGGGTGTTGTTTCAATTGGAAGCAATAGGAATACTGAAAATCTAACAACATCCCCTCCTCCCCATGGGGGCCTCACTCTGTAGCCCAGGCTATCTTGGAACTCCTGGGCTCAAGGGATCTCTGCCTCAGTCTCCTAAGTATGTAGGCCTATTCAGGCAGACATAACAGGATGTCTGGCTCCCTGCCATTCTTAATCTGGGGCATCATAGAGACATCCATTTGCCATAGAAGTCTCTTTTCCTTCTCCAGTTCCCATAGGCCATTTGGAAAGCTGGCTATGTGTGGTGTAACATTATCTGTGGATGAACTCAGAGAATGCGCCCAATGAGAAGAAGCTGCCTTCATTTTTCACAGAGTACAGAGCCCATTAGGATTCAGAGCATGACGTATTTGAACTCTGGAACACTGGAAGAGGAAGGCTGACAGAAAATCAGGCAAAATGAAAATGGGAAGCAGTTTCCTTTGCCTCACAGGACTTGCATGTTGTTGCATAAGAACTATCAAATAAAGGAGGCAATTAGGTACCGTTTCAATCGTAACTGCCCACAAAAGCACATCTTTGCCTACTTTGTTAAGTAACTTTTAAAAGAATGGGTGAACACAGAAACAGCTGACCTGAACATGGGGGAACCCTTGCTCCCCAGACTGATAGCTTGGATACCAGCATGGGACTGATCCAGACCCCAGGAACATGGGTTTCTGTGAGGAAACCTCAGAAATCTATGGACCTTCTGTAGTAGTTCAGCACTTATCCCTAGCATAGGTGTGGACTTTGGGAGCCCGTTCCATATAGAGGAATACTCCCTGAGCCAAGACACACAGGGGTGGGCCTAGGCCCTATCCCAAAGGATACGAAAGACTCTGATGACACCCTATGGAAGGCCTCACCATCCAGGGGGAGCAGAAAGGATATGTGATAGGTAGGGTTTCAGTTGGGGGGCAGATAGGGGAGGACAGGAGGGAGAAGGGAACTGGGATTGTCATGTAAAATAATCCTGTTTCTAATTCAAATAAAAAAAAGTTGGAAAAAAAGAATGGGTGAAAAACACACTAAATAATTACTTTAGATGTGTGTAAATACTCCTTTATAGGGTTTTAAGGGTGTGGAGATTATTCTGTAAAGTGATAGCACTGAGCATCACTCATCTTCATCTTCCCTTACACTCTGATAGCTCTTTGGTATGAAAACAGGCAAACAGCTGCTTGTTCCCATCATTTTGCACGGAATCATTCCCCCATATTGACCCTACCGTGAAATGAATTTTACTGAAGCATCTCTAAACCATACATGTGTTTGAGATAGCTTCATGTGGGTCATGTGATGCTCCTGCTAATTACCCACTGGGATTCCCCAGTAGAAGGAAGCCGGAAGGAAGCATTATTTACAAGGGCATCTGCTTGAGCTTTGCTGGAGAACAATGGTAAACACATCCCAGTGGATGTCTGCAGATGGTAACAATAAAGCAGACTTTAGAAGCCTGCCTTCATAAATGCTGCCAATGCTAAGACCTCCCCCCCCCAAGCCCAAGATGTAAACATAGGTTGAATCTCTTTACTGAATGGTGGGACCAGGAGAATTTCTGATTTCAGATTTATTTATTATTTATTATTATTTTATCTTGAGGACAGAGGTCTAGTCCAAGCACAAAATTTATTTATATTTCAAACACACCATAGACAGTCTGGGGTTGATTGTAAGTGGTTATACCTGGGTGTGTAAAAGGCCTCCTATCACTGCTTGGAAAGTTTTGGCTGTGGCTCCTTTCAGATTTCTGGTGTTTGGACTAGGTGCGCTCAGCTCGTATGGTCAAGGTCATCTTTAAAATACAGTTTTCACACCTTACAGCTGTGCCAAGCTCCTAAGAAGGTGTGCAGAGCCTTTGTCATGGGCAAGCAGCTAGACCTCTCCACCTGCCTCCACCACTCCAGACTGCTCAGCATTAGCACAGGTCTCAAAACTTTGCCCAGAGAAGCTGGGGTGAGAGGCCACAGGAAGCCAGCTGGGAGACCAGGACAGGCCCAAGAGTTCTCTGGCTCCATGTAGTCCAGCTGTTCCTCCTGAAGGACTTCATGGTTTCTCTGTCTCCCCCCCCCCCCACTACCATTCCACCTGAGCTAGTTTGAGCAAGTTTGCTTTCCTTTTTAAATGGACAAACTTCTAATAGCTGTCATTTGTCCTCTAAAGGGAAGGTTCTGGGTTACTCCCACACTAGCCCTGAGGTATAGAGCAGGGAATCACTTCCCAGGAAACTCCTGTGTACAGTTTGTGTGCTGGGGATGGGAGACCCCAGTAAAGGTGTGCTGCAGGGTTTATGGTATCCATGGTAACTGCCATCTTTCCTAAAGACACAAGAGTAAAAATATGGCTACCCTAGCATGCTTCAAAAATAATATATTAGGTACTAGCTAAAGGTCCAGAGGTCATGTAGCCCAGGATCAGAGGGATTCTAGAGGGTACAGTTGGACCACAGGGGTCCATAATGACACAGACTGTGCAGGAGTAAATCTGAGATGAGAGGAAGGTGGGGACTAAGGACCAACCATGCCCAGTCATAAGGGTGGCCCTGGTTGCCACTGAAGCAAGCATCACCCAAAAGGACAAGGAAGCCTTGGAAGAAATACATATAAGTACAACTGCCTGGGGCAGTGCCTGCATGTGCCTGTCACCTCCATAGGGCCTTGATCTTTGAATTACAGTTGCCCTCGACACATGCAGATCTAGCCAACATGCTTAAGAATATCTAGGGGAAATTAAACACAAATAATCTCCATAGATAGGAGGTAGTGTGCTTGGGCTGGAATCAGAAGTGGATAGCGTCTTCAAAGGCCTTCAGCAATCCATGTCTGTAAGATAGACCGCAGTCCCCAAACATCATGACCCCAAAACAGTACTATCAGGTAACAGGTGAGCCTGAGGTGGACATTTGCCTTTCAAACCATCACACCTGCTGTAGTTTGAATGCACCTCTTCCAAACTTGATGTTGAAACTCAATGCTTGTGATGGGGGTATTAAGAAATGTGGCCTTTGTGGCAATGATTATCTTACCCTCATGAATGCTGGTGTCTTAAGAGTCACTAGCTTTGTCCTTTATGTGTCTCTATCTTCTTATTCTTCTGTGACACACAAATACAGTCTTCAATATCTCATCTTGGGGGCTGCAGAGCTGCTCAGTGGTTAAGAGCACTGGCTACTCTTCCAGAGGTCCTGAGTTCAATTCCCAGCAAACCACATAATAGCTCACAGTCACCTGTAATGGGCTCAGCTGCCCTCATCTAGCATGCAGGGATCCATGCAGATGGAGCACTCATACCTAAAAAAATATACAAATAAAATAAAATAAAATAAAAAGCCATCTTGGAAGCAAAGCCAGTGTTCTCACCAGATTCAAATATCCTGATCCCTTGGCCTTGGATTCCTCATCCTCCAGAACTGTGAAAAACACATTTGTATTGTTTATAAGCTACACACAGAGGCCGGTACTTTGTTGCAGTAACAGAGACGGGTTAAGACAAGGTCTGCCTCTTGCTTCTCCCTCCCTCTTTCCCTCCTCTTCTACCCTCACTTGCCACATCTAGAGAAGAGGAAGTCCTGGTGTCCCCTACAGGTGTAGCATCTCTGGCTTTGGCTATATAGAAACATTTCTAGTCCTTGGGACGCTAGGTCTGAGTGGCAAGCAAGGTTAAAGTTGCATTATTTAGCCCTGTTTTACGGTGCCACCGTGGGATCGAGAGTCCCTTTTGTAGATTCTTGGTCCTCTGGGTAAAAGAACCTAAAACAGACACAGAAGGGAGCTGGAGGACAGAGAGACAAAACAACAGGGCAGGCAAGCTTGCAATGCTCACAGCTCGGAGGAGGGAGATAGAAGGAAAGGGACAGGGAAGGGGAAGTGACTTCTGTGTTAGAAGTCATGAGATTCCAGTTCAGCAGCTGCATTGAGGGAGGAAGGCTGTAGGGTCCGTACGTACACATCTCATTCCGGGGGCTCTTTTCTTCCACTGCCTTATCTTGCCCCTAAATCACCACACTGTGTGGTATTGTCTGGTATTGTACTGTGCACCCTACCATACCATACTGTATCACATCATATTGCATCATGTCACGTTATGCAACCACATCCTATTACACTGTATTCACACTATGGCATGCCATATCATATTTACCGAAACGGATCACATCATACCGTGTGTCATATATCCTATTTCTTTGCACATTTTTTTCTGTGTGTTGCAAAACAAGATTCCCCTTTTCACAGGGTAAGGGTCTTATCTCCAAAGAGCCAGCCTCAACGGGAGGCACGTGTTTACATTAGTAGAGGGTGTTACTGACCACCGGCTGTGCCTTGTGTAAAGGGCATTTTCCCTCTCACTTGTGGCTGGGAGTGCCCACACACTGATAGTCATTTGTCCTGAGTTGGCTAGGAAGCAGTTGGCTGCAGAGGGTTCTCTCTTCCTGCCTCGAATTCTGAGTCACCATTAGACAAAGACACATCCGATGGCTTTCTTCTCAGCCGGCATGGAAGCCCATGTTTCAGGGTTTTGACACACACTCCGAAGCCCTAACATACTTAGCACAAAGGACTACCTTGGCTCTGGGAGTTTATTTTACTATTATTATTTTTAAACCAAGAGTAAGATAACAACTTTGCAGTGAGTCTGACTATACCCTCTCAGGGAATAGGCTGGATCACAGAGTGTGGGGTTAAAGACTTTTTTACTCCTTCACCCGGCATGCAATTGACCAACTTTGGCATTGTCATCCTCCTGCAGTCCAGCCAAGGCCTCACCTGGCCTCCTCACTCTCCAGGCAGGCTTTCCTGGTGGTGGTTACCCAGGGGTTCTGGGAGGCTGGAGTTCTCGGTGTCCTCTCTTGTTGTCTCCACTTCCCTATCCTTCCCAGCTCTCATCATTCCTAGGGATGGGTGATGAGGATCAGAAAATAACGTGAATGCTGAATTGAGTGCTCCGTGATATGACTGCCATTGCTACCCTGTCACAGTTACTCAAGATGCTCATCTAACGCTAAGGCTAGGATGAGGCTCCACCATAGAGCTCATGCTTAGCCTGGTGACCTGCTTTCATCCTTAATGCCAAAACAGACACTCATGAAACACTTAACATGCCAGCCGACCTGTGGAATAGGCATTTTATATATTTTACTTTTTGGACAGGCTCTCACTATGTAGCCCAGGTTGGCCTCAAACTCAAGGTCCATCCTCCCACCCTAGCCTGTCAGTGATAGGAATGTAGGCATGCACTTCCATGCATGGGTTCCTGGGTTTGGATGTTTCTATTGATTTTTAAATGGGAGGGATCCTGGTAAATGAAAGCAGTTTGCTCAAGATGTATCATTTCATCATTTCAATTTATGTTGTAACTAAATCTGCACCATCACTCACATTTCTTTAACCTCTGGATCCTCAGTTTACCAAAAAATAAAAACAATGACATGACTACCCACTCTAGGATTTTGGTTTTGTTTCTGTTTTTTGCCTTTCCATAATGTCAGATATTCACATAGAAGTTGCTCAGATTCGAACTTTTGCTTCTTCAGCCTCCTCTCATCTCCTTCTGGGTTCCCTGAGGCTGAGAACCCGCAGGTCCTTGAGGAGCTACACATTTGCATGCTCTGGCCTTTGCATAAACTGCCCTTTCTGCCCAGTATGGCTTCTCTTTCTCCGAGTTTGCTGGTGCCCACACGGCTCACCTAATCACCCTTTGTGCTGAAAGCCTTCCCAGATGTTCCCAGTCTACCCAGCCCCCTGCTCATGTGAGTCAATGCATTACACAGGTAGGACTCTGACACACGCCTTGTCCTGCTTACCAGTGACAAGGACCAGCCTGGTACTGTGTGTGCCTAGTTAATGTTTATTGCATGGCTGAAGAAAAGAGAACCATCTCCCACACAGAAGTGATAGTACTGGAAGCTGTGTTTCTTCAAGGCACTGTTTTGTTGTTGTTGTTGTTTGTGGAGGTGGTGGTGGTGGTGTGGTGTGTGTGTGTGTGTGTGTGTGCGTGTGCTTTTTGCTCTAACATCATGGCTTCTGTTTCTTAGGGTGGGAGTAGTACTTTTGTTTGGAGCCACCAGGAGCTGACACTTGTCACTTGAACTTCCTGACTTTGTTGGTTCTGCCAGGCAAACAGAGGCCTCTGCATTTGATTTCCTCTGTAAGGAAGAAAAACAAAACAAAACAAAAGTCTCCATTTATCACGGGACTCACCACAGGAAAGCTTGCACAATGGCTCCCAAGATCCCTTGCTTTGGAAAGCTGTCTCGGGCCGGCTGAGGAAGAGAGTTCCTCAAATCCAACAAAGGTCGCTTGTCTTCCTGGAGAAAGCCTCTCTGCCAGGAGACATTTACAGTGCAGCGGATGGCTCAGGGGCTCTGGGGACCTGCAAGCCAGTCAGGGAAGGAAGGCTTTGGGTCCCCTGGAGAACAGAGGCATTTTACTGGGGTCATTGGACAATGGTAGCTATGAATTACGACTTCTCTGGATAATACACATGTTTGAAAACACTGTGAGGTCATCAAATGTTTAGGAGGAAGCCAGAAGTCCCCAGGAACTCCAGACTCAGTGAGATAAACATCTGCCTCATCTTGCTTTACCCTCCCCCATCTCCCCTTACCCCTCCCTCTTCCATAGTCAGTGAGAAGTACCTGTTATGGCCACACCCACAGTCCCCAACCATTGGACCATCTGATGTCTGTCTGTATTGGTTAACCATAGTGATTTCTTAACAAAATTTTAAGAACTTTCCTCTACCCTTTTGGATTAACTTAATATTTTTTATCACTTCATTTGGAAAAAATCCTTGAGTTGACTGGCAGTAATAACCCGTTTCTCTGCTATTAATAATTATTAGAGAAACTACAGCATAAACTGTTATGTCTAAATCAGTACACCAGCCTCGCACAGACAGTGGACATACATAAACACTCACATAATCACCCTATTTGCTTTTCCTCCTGCCTAGGTGGAGACCCCATGGTTTCCATCCTTCTCCAGCCCCAGCATCAACAATAAAGCTCTGGTACAGGTTACCTATCTGGTCGATTTTCTTCTATTGTTGCTTCTCTTTTATGGTAGTCCTCCATCTAGCCTTGCTCTCCTAATACCTAAAACTCATCCTTTAGGACTGACCAAATGGATAATCCATTCTTGGAAAACCTAGTTTTTGTTTCTAAGTGTGTTTACCCTGATTTAACAATTCCCCGGTGACATTTGCTACCTTCAGCAGGGCTCCACCATCTTCTCTCTCCCCTGGTTGACACAGAAGTCTAGTATCTGCTTAAGGGTAGTGTGTGTTGTTGTTATCCCCCCCTCTCTCTCTCTCTCTCTCTCTCTCTCTCTCTCTCTCTCTCTCTCTCTCTCTCTCTCTCTCTCTCTCTCTCTCTCTCTCTCTCTCTCTCTCTCTCTCTCTCTCTCTCTCTCGCTCTCTCTCTCCTCAAGACAGGGTTTCTCTCTGTAACAGCCCTAGCTATCCTGAAATTCACTTTGTAGATCAGGCTGGCCTCAAACTCACAGACATCCACCTGGTTTTGTCTCCCTAGTGCTGGCATGAAAGGCATGCGACACCATCCCCAGCTCCCCTTGTTCTTTTAATAGTGTGAGCTGCCTGTGTTGTTCTCCAGGTTCACAATAATGGGATCCCGGGTTTATTTCTTACACTTTGTCTAGTTTGGTAACGGTTAGATTTCTTCAATCTTATAGCTTAGAGTCTTATTTCAGTTGTAAGAAATTCTCAGCTACTCCAAATAGCTCCCCTGTCCTTTTGGAGCAGTTGCTGAGTGACAGTAGATGCTTGTTTCTGCCTTCCACATCTTCAAGTCTCCTTCCATGTATTTACCCTATGCTGTTTAACACATAGATTTTAATTTTCTTTGTGTTTTTCGATGGTAGGAGTTCCGTTTGGTCAGTATCCATGCCTGCTGTATCACAAGCCACTAGTGGTACTCAGCTGTAATCCCAGTACTCAGTATTCTGAAATGGGAGGATTTTGAGTTATAGGGTAGCCTGGGCTAAATAACAGATCTGTTCCTTATTTCCTGAAAATATGAGCTTTATGTTTTGTTTTTTAAAGGACTTCCTCACATATTGTTTTAGATTCTGCCAGAGAACTGAACTGGGAGGTGTTTACAGTTGGGTTTCTCTCATTACCATCTCACTGCTCCTTGTACACATTGTCTGGGTACCTCTCATACTTGTTTGGTCTAGCTGTTTTGGCCACTGCTCTTGACAATTTGTCTTGGGGGCCGTATCTTAGATGGAAGATGTACTTTCCCCCTGGAGAGGATCTGTGTTTTTTTCCTTCAGCAGTCTTAGGACCTGATGAGTACAGGAGATGTTTAATTTCAAAACCTGAACTTTCTGGACCACCCAGAAAATGTGGCTGTGGTCTGCCAGTGCACACAGAGCCTGGTTTGTGGTCATGATTCTGTAGAGGAAGCTTGATTTTTCCATGCCTTGCTCGATATTGATTGAATGTTCCTTAAAGTCTTTTTGATGGAAGTTTACTTAAGGAATGGCCATTTGTTGAATTTAGCTTTGGGGAGGGAGGGCCCCAGGGGACCAAGGCCACTCTGATCATGTCCAGTCTTGATTTTTATCCACTGTCCTGTGAAGCCAGATTTTTGGTGTCTCCAAAATTACCAGTGTTAGGATTCCACTCACCCACTTAGAATTTTGGTTTGGTAGTTCCTTACTCTCATGTCAGTTCTGCGATCTTCAACATATTTTTTTAAAAAACATCTCATATGTTAGTTTTTATTGACTTTCAGTAAAGAATACTATTTTTCTGTCTTTATTGAGAGTAATGACATTTCTCCATTAAACTGGACAGCATTGTGTGGTAGTTGAATGAGGTATTCCCCATAAGTCCCTGACATTTAAATAGCTGGTGGTACTTTGAGGAGAATCTTGGGAGGGTGTGACCTTTTTGGAGGAAGTATGCCACTGTGGGTGATCTTTGTTTGAGGTTTCTAAAGACTGCCACCATTCCGAGGGTTCTCTCAGCTCCCAGCATAGGATTGGAAATGTGAGCTCTCACCTGCCATTCCCGCTGCCATGCAT